TTAGTTTTGGAACTCTAAATGTGGTCAACTAAAAATGATTTCCTGTTTCCAAAAAGTTTTTTTTTTTTTCAACAAGAAAATCCTCTCTCTGGAAATATCAGATGTCCTCATAGTTATTTGATATTACTGCCCAGAAGAATCTGGGGAGAAAAAGAGAAGAAAGAAAGTGGGAAGAGGCCAACAAAGCACAGGAAACCCTTCTTAGAATTTCAAAAGCGGTGAAATGTGGAATAAGTTAGCTATGCCAAGACATTTTATATAGAAAAGCCTGAAGAACTGAGTAAAGAATAGAAACACTCATGTGAAGAGCTATATAGACATTATAGATGTAGTTTCATATTACATAAATTAAACTGAAAAAGAAAAAAATTAAAACATCTTAAAAGAGGCCTTTAGGAAATATTTTGCACACATAAATGAATGAATAATTACAATGACAAGGAGGTATGGAGCAGCTACTCAAATATGTGCCTAAAATTCTACAGCTGTTGCTGCTTGCCTTAATTTGCTAATACCAAAGGTAGGTAGTTTCATGTGTGTTAATGTTTTATCTTTTAGGCAAAGAACCCAATTTTAGAGAATTCGATCTTTAATGGCATTGGCAAATTGTGTTGTCTCCATGATGCCATTCTTCACTGCTCTTACAGAACAGCAGTAGAATAAACTTCCAAGGCAAATTCCTACATACTCATGGCAACCAACAACTCATAACAACAGAGAAAATTTTGGACAATAGTGGCTGTTTTTCTAATCAGCACGTTACATACCAATCTTGCTAAAAATGAAACATTTACAATTTTTTAAAAGTAATAATTTGTTGTAAAAATGAAGTTAGTGATTTGGGGGGAACGCAGTAAGTACAGATAAATCTTTGAAAAATACATGAATACTTTTGTTAACATCTTGTATTACACGAGACAAGTTGAGACTTTGACTAAGACAAGTCATACCTAAACTAACATATATCAATGAAAAGCACTCTGTAGTAATTATTCAGCATGGTTATAGTAGAGTTGCAACTCTGACAATTTACATAGAATTCATATATTTACTTGCAATTTTGAACATTATAAGCTTTTCTTTAGAAGGATTTTATTTTGGAAAAGAAACGTGAAAAAAAATAGTGAGGGTTCATTGATAGTACCACACATTTAAATACCTTACACAATTTAAATAAATTTTAAATTCAATTACTATCACTAAAATAGACAGATCAACGTAATACACAAGACCCCAAACAACCATGTATACATGCAACTCTAATTTGTAGTACTGATGGCTTTTTAAATGATTAATAAAAGAAAGATTATTTAGTGAATGAGCTAGCTAATCACTTAAGGAAAAAAAAAAGACTCCTACTTCATGTTATGCAGCAAAATAAATGCTAAATACATTAAAGACTAAGTACAAAAGGTGGAAACCCTGAAATACTATAAGAAATATAATACTTATATAATTTTGAAGTGGAAGATAATACTTTAACTAATAACGTAAGTAACATATTTATGAAAATTAGCCATATTTTCCAAAACAAACACAAATTTAGTGAGAAGAGTGGCATTGTTTTACATTTTTGCAAATCTCTCTAATGTCTGGCTTAACAGAAAACATCTGGAATCTCCGAGTTGCTTCAGCATTCATCTGTGGTGATATCATATGTCATGTAGCTGGAAAACTCCACCATAAACTTGTGATAGAATAAAAATGAAAAAGGCAGATATGTCTTAGTATTATCGTGAAAACACTTGAGACCTTTTGGACCTCTGGTGTGGGTCCCTGGGATGTTTGTGGTCTCTGCATCACATTTTGGGAACCATTGATGAAGGCCAATGAAATATTTTGTGAAATTTTAAGTTGATTATATCTCTAAGGGACAAATTTCATTTTCCTTGCTATGGACAAGATTCATCTGCATTCCCTGTAGTTTCCTACCCATATAGAGTTGCAGAATAGCCCGAAAATCAATGATGTACACTCAAAGCATTGAAAAAATCTCCTGAAAGGTCTGAAATATTGCTACCCTCCACTGAAAACATACTCTGTGAACTGTTCTGACCATTTCTCAGTCTTCCTCCCTAATCACCTTGTATCAATAGATTCTACCTCATTAAACATGCTGATACGCAGAGATCATGATGAAATGGGCAAATTTCTGGGCGGTAATACAATGAGAGGAAAGGAAAATTGGAGCTCCTGATGTCGTTAGAGGAGTAGTTACTCCTGTATACTTTCAGACTCAAAATCCTCAAAACATTCCTTCTTTTCTACCCTCACTCTTTCTTTAGAATCAGTTTTCATAAATAAATTCTCTGTGTTCTTCATTTCAGTTCTTTTTCTCCTGGCTAGTTTTGTAAGCTCTCCTCAGCAAGTAGAAGCTTCTCCTTTTGGCCCATTCAATTGCAACTCAAATAGCAAACCTGATTTAGGTCAAAAATTGTTTAAGTGTGTTGTTTGTTTGTTTGTTTTTGCCATTGTGTCCAAAAGACCTGACAAGAACCATGTTACAGAAGGAAGGAAAAGTTTATTTGGGGCTCACCATTTCAAAGGTCTCAGTCCATAGAGGGCCAGCTCCATTGCTCTGTGCCCAAGATGAGACAGAACATAGGACAGAAGAGCCTGTAGGAAGAAAGTAGCTCAGAACATGAAAATTAATAAGAGGAGAGGCTAAACTTGGATCACAAGGGACGAAATATATACCCAAAAGCCACAACCCTAGTGACCCACCTCCTCCAACAACACCCTACTTGCCAACAGTTTCCACTCAGTTAATCTATTCAAGTGGTCAAATACATTGATTAGACGAAGGCTCCTGTAACTCAGTCATTTCACCTATGATATTTCTTCAATTGTCTCATACATGATTTGGGGGGGAGGGGACATCTCATATTTAAACCATAACAAATGTTTCTGAGATTCTCTTTTGTTCAGGAAGTCAGGATGCAGTTTAACTGCATGATTATAAATAAACGTTAATTCAATTTGCTTTAATATGTCCTTCACAGGAAAATTTCCTTCTTCTCACACTAGATCTTCAAGAAGATAATCTTCATCAAGATGGACAGTAAGATCACTAAACCAAATTTCATGTTGCAAACACATGTACACATGCATACATATAGGCATGCGTGATTTATGAAATAAAAGCTATTTTATCTTCACCTCTATTTATTTCAGCCTATCCTTTTCTTAGAAATAAGCTATCATCATTATTCTAATAATATCATTATTCTCTATCATTCTTCTAAAGGGAATTTGACCCTTTTATGCCAATTGAATGTGATGTCATTCCAAAGACATCTTACTAGGTTCAAGTGACTTAGCCTTATATCCTTTCCTGAGAAGTAGAGTCTCCAATTAAATCATTTAGAATTTTCTCTTCTAAAAGTAAGCACTTGGAAGTGGGGAGACAGAGATGTAGAGAGCTTTAATTCTATATATAATACATGCAAAAGTTTATACCAACACCACTGAACATGACTAAGATTGAGTAACCCAGATACTTAAAATTTTTCCATCATCATACCACTTTATTTCATAATTTTTTATGGAAAATAAGTCATTAAATTTTCTCACCAATAATCCTAAAACATTATTAATCCTAAATCTGAACTGGGAATTACAGAAGCTCTTCCTTCTTATTATCAGTGCAAAATTAGAATCATGAGGAAGCCAAAGAGACAAAACGGGATAGTTTTGACCACAAGTCACAAGCTTTAGAGGGCTATACCATAAGTAACTCTTCCCCTTCTTCTTCTTGATGGATGGAAAGAAAAATGACATCAATATGAAGCATTCCGTCTAAACAAGTAAATTGATTCTAAAGAATAATACCTCATTAAACATGAAATCATATGAAATTCAAATTTCAGTATATAAATAAAATAATATTGGGACACAACTATATTTTAGATGTTTACCACATATCACACTCATTTGTTTATTTATTATATTCTTTTGCTTTTTGTGCTACACTGACAATGATAAGTACTTGCAATAAAGACCAT